CTTTGGAAAGCAGGGTACCTAAATACTTCTCCTTTGAGGCACCGCTATAAACCTTCTGACATAGCTCCAGCTTTCTCTGGCTGGCTGCAATCTGGCAGACTCAAGTGGTAGGCTGTCTGCAGCAATTCATCCCAGAATGCTCCCCCAAGAGTTTCTTCCACATTTTCCTTCTTATATGGAAATTCAGCCGGCCAGGCTGGTCCTGAGTTCAAAGCCCCCTGAAGTGCTTTGAACATGGAGCCACAGAGAAATGGCAAGAGGCTGGAGTAGAGACCTTGTCGATCACTCCTGAACTTTTTTGAAAGGAAGATTGGAAGGAGGCAAGCAGATATGAAGAGAAGAGAGGGACCTTCTTTCCTTCAAAGAAAGGAAACAGCCTGACAGCAACACTGCTTTTTTTTTTTTTTTGATATGAAAGGATATGCTAACTAAAGTGAAAAGGTGCTCACGTATTGTGTTAGGAGGTGTGAGGGGGTACACGGCTTAAAAAAGGGGTTAAATTATAATTTTCCTGTATAGAGAATGGCAGCAGAAATCACATTTCTGTTTACAGAAGAYGATTTGCTTGCCACCAGCGCACAAATCTCCCCACAAAATTTATTTTTCCTTTTACAGAAAACTGCTTTGTCATTAAGAAGTGGCTTCCCCTTAGTTCTGCCTTCAAGTCTGTTTACTGTGCAGTGAGTRCAGCTCCTGCACCTTATGCAAGCTGGTCAGGTGCTTGCACCACCGCTATGGACCAGGTGCAAATGTCAATGCATTGGGAAAGCACTTGGCCGGGCATCATGCACTGAGGTCTCTGCAGCCTGGCTATTGGGAGAAAATACAGTGTAGTTTGAGCCTGTGTGAATTGCAGTCATTACAGGTAGACAAATCCTTCAAATCTCTCATACTTTTATCTTTTTTCAGCCTCAGGCTCGTAACTCTGAGAAACCTTTAGTGCAAATTGCTTATCTGTGCCCATCTGGCCCCAAAAGATGAGTCAAACATTAAACATAAATGCTTTGTGAAGCTGTTTTATCCACCAGAAAAGACACAGCTGCCCACAAAGAAAGTGCATCATGCACCTGGTCTGACTGTTATTACTTATATAGGACACTTTCTTCTGAATGTTCATGTATTTATGAGTTGAAACACAGATTATATTACCACCTTCTACCATAAAAGCAATTGCTTTGTACTCTCAATTTCTTTTTGAAACATCTCATTTAATCCCTTCACCCTTTGGCCAGAACTTTAATTTTATATCATTAAGGCATTATGGTTCAAAATGTTAAATTATGTTGTTGCATATTAAGGTTTAGGCCTGGTGTTGGCACCTCACTCAAAATGGTGTTGATGAACCTTAAGGCTTAGATGAAATCCAACGATTTTTGTTATCATCCTGGATGCCATTAGTTTAATAACATGCAGGCCTTTTAGTCATTACTATTAGTTTCTATGAATAAAAGCCAACTGTGCAATACTGTTCTCTCCCATCTAACTGCAAATAGCATAAATATAATGTGCAAGTCTTTTGAGAAATGTCTCTTTCCTTTAAAAGATGATTTTAAAAATGAAAATGGTACAGATTTTTGAATAAAATTTGCATAATTAGGAAAATACATKAAGCAGACTATACCTTGAAAAAGACCTGCTCACTTGTCTTCTATTTGTCAGATGTGACACTACTGTGGTAGTTTTCTCTCTAACCTAAGCAAATAAGAAATGACTAAGTACTATTTTTATCCGGCAGTGAAAAGTGAAACTTTCTTGTATGGCAAAAATACGCCTGTCTTCTCCCATGAATAACTTCAAAAGTCAAATTCCTTACAAGCATTCATTAACCTATGTAAATATACAGYGCTGTAGCATTCAAAAGCACAGAGCAGGTGGACAATTCAGCTTGTCGAGTCCACCTACAAGCACAACTTGTTCTTTTTCTGTCATTCCCTCACCTTCCCACCATCCCGTTACGCTTTGTGTGCCATCCAAGTGTGTTTACCCGTCGTGTGTTTGGCGGCAGCGGCGTCAGATGCTCCCAGCACCGTCACCGTGGACGCTCGTTATGGAGCCACAGGAGCTGATCTGCGGTGACTCCTCGGGTCAGGGYCATCATCTGACTGCGAGCAGCTGCGGAGCTGTCAGATGTTTCCTAACAATTTCTTTTCTTGAAGATTTTTCCACATAACTAACGACTGTTAATGCCTACACAGTTAAATTGCAGTCTTTCTCCCTCTGCTGAGCAATCACCCAACAGTATGTACATATGTGGGAATGGGCCTTATGCAGCAGGGGAAGAGCAGAGAGGACACTAGGAGGTTCCTTTCCACTAAAGGTCCCCTGCTTATCCATCCCATCCAGCTGTGGTGCTGGCTCCTTGAGGAACAGGATAACACCCTGCTTGGAATATTTCTGTCTATACTCTCCTCTGAGTGCCGTTGGAGGCAGCCTGCAGGCCGAATTTGTCTGTTAGCTGCAGGGTGCACACTCAGGATTGCCCTGCAGGACTTGGGTACTGCCTGGTCAGGAAGTTCACCTGAAATGCCCAAGGAGAGCGGAGAGGGGAAGGACCTCCAGCACATGCAGGACAGCAACATACTCTCCAGAGTCAGTATAGGTCACTCCCCAGATGCTCTCTCCTCAAAAAACCACAGTGKATTCCATGACTGTTAAGGCAATAAATTGCTTATCATTCACCTACAGGGCATTAAAGACTGTGACCAGAGGAGATCACCACCAACACAGAGCAAGTGTCCCTGGTTCCCAAGCCATGAGCAGCCCCTCACAAYGGCCCCATGATTGTCTGTCCAGGTCTTCTGACCCTTGGAGCAGGCAAAGGCCCAAAGGGACATGGGCAGGAACAGGGCTGCTAGGTGAGACCTCCCCACAGGGAAATGTAGAGCTGTTTGGCCCACTGGCACTGCTACCTCCACATCTCCAAAGGGTGCCCAGATGCCCTGCGGCATCCTCTCCTTGGCTCTCCCAAGATGACTTTGGTGCAGGGCCATGCCCTGCAACAACTCAAGATGGCAGGGAAATACCAGAAAGTGTGGGAATGGCTTGGACYGAGCCTTTCCTGACTTGGCAGAATCTTTTTGTGAAAAGGGAGAAGAGAACTCTTTTTTTTTTTTTTCAGAAGTCATTTTTTTTCTTTTCCTTTTTATGTGAAGGACAATTTAAAAAGTGGCTGATATTGGGCTTGATTGTGGAAGGAGGTTCCTTTCTGTTGAGTTCTGATTTGCCTTGAACCTGGTACCGTACCACATTTCTATTGGGACTATTCCAACAAAAATGAGAGGTGTTGAGCCTCCAGAAGAGGCTCTTTTTGTCTACAAGGTGCAGATGAGGGTCTTTAATATAAGATATACCTAGCTGTTAGGTTCATGACAACTGCATAGCACAGAGTAGTTAGACACAACAGTAATGCAGCAAGCCCTTCATCGCATATATGTGAATCCCCTTTGATTATGTATTTTAATTTTCAAACGTAGAATAATATTATCTGCGTAGAAAAGGGTCACTGTAACAATCCTGGAAACTGTTGTCCTCAGTTTTGCTGCAGAATAGGGGTACACAGGTAATTGCAAGCAACATACACTTTCCTTAATGCACGACATGCGTTTCCTTTAATTTGCCTAACCAGGACTACAGCTGTGTGCTAAGTTCAATCTTCAGGTCCATTTATCTTTAGCCTTAGGGTGCTGACCATCTGCAGTTCAGCAGCCAGGTACCAGCGTGATGATACTTTTGGATATATGAATAACAATCTGTCAGGAGCAGAACTGAGAACAGCTGTTTTTACACAACATGGACTGCCAAGCAGTTTTGGGCTTCTCACACCGTGATGAACAGCTCCTAAAATCTCGGCTATTATTAGAAGCAACCTACCAACTTAAAAAGACACTCGATGAACTGAATGCAGAATCCTGCACTATAAGGCCTAGGTGACACCTGGTAAAACTGAAAGGGGATCAGTTCAACACAGACAAAAGTAAGAACTGGTCAGCAGTGGGCTTCAGGACCTCGCTGCCCCTGGGTGTTTGCAAGCTGACGGGGTGGGCTGGTTCAGAAGGGATTAGACCGATTCAGGGACAAGAGGTCCCTTCCAAGGTCCAGGAGGGACAACCTCTGGACCTCTGGTAGATATCACAGAGGGCTGTATAAATATCACAGAGGGTAGCTATCACAGAGGGTGATATCTACCACAGCAAATGCAGCAGTTCTGATGCCAGGAGAGAACCAGGGGAAGGGACTGCACAGCCTGGCCATGCTCCCCAGTTTCTCCTGTCGCAYCAGGGTGGTCTGAGCTACTGGTCTGAGCCAGGAGGGCTTTCCTTACAGTTTTATGTTCTTTATCTAGAATGCTATTTTATTCCCAAAGCACTGTGTGAGTATTTAGTTATTGACCTAGATTCATGTGAGATGACAATTTAGCTGTAGTAATGTAAAACAAGAGACAGAGTTTCTTTATCCCTGCTCCTGGAGCAGGATATATCCCTGCTTCTGAGTCCACCGGTGCCTTGCTATAAAGCCTGTCCCGTGACRTTGCTCACTGCCAATCTATCTCCCAAAGCCAACCACTTCCTCCTTGCTGTCTATTGAGCTAATATCTATCATAAAACCCTACATTACAGACATTCATATTACTGTAAAACCCTAAAGGAACCAAATGAACACATCTCGTATGGGGAATGGAAGAAGATAGAGATAGTGAAAACTGAATTCTAATGAAATRATGTACAAGGGGTAACATGAGAATATCCCTGAAATTTGAAATAAATATTCAGGATCAGTCATGCTAGTTCTTTCACAGTGTAGCCATTATGGCAATTTCAAACTCTCTTGAATTTTGAAGACTGTCACATCCTCTGTCCCACTTGCACTTTCCTCTTTCCCAGCAAATTAGAAGGCAAGTCAGCATTCTAAGTTTTACATATAAAATAAAAAGAAAGAGATCGTGGTTTTCAAGCATTTTCCCTTGAGGCCACCCCATAATAGTGTTTCTAAAGCAGTCCTACCTTTGTTTTCCAACTTGAGCTCCTCTGCTAGCAAGCTGTCTTGTCTGTTGCCAAGCACAAACGCCAGAAATGAGAGGATCAGGGCATCCAAGATTCCAATAATAGCCAGGATATACGCCCAGCGGACTGAGCAAGCCCCCAGCGTGTACTTGTCTGTCTTTTCACCACACATCCGTTTTACCTCATCTGAATCCCAGCCATCAGGAAAAATCATACAACCCAGGACGAGACAGGCAGCTTGGAGACAAAAAAAAAAAAAAAAAAAAGAACAAGAGGATAATGAGACCAACATTCATTTTTTTTTGTCACAACCTACACACTTATCATTAAAGCAACACACTTTTTCATGCTGAACTTCAAAGCCAGATGACTTAAAAACAAGTCTCACAATTATATGCTGTGATTAAATATTCAATACAAAACCCCGAGAAACAACATCAACTTGGTACTTTTTTTTTTCTTTTAGAAAGGTATATCCTGAATCTCTGGACAATTTTTGTACCAGTACAATCACATTTTCTCAGTGAGACAGATTTCTTCACTGTAATGTGAAGGGTTCATACAAAACAAAAGAAGAATAATAATTAATAAACCGGCTGGCTACGTGGACAAAAGATCTGATTACTGTCAAATGATCAGTGTGGATAAGCCAGAGAAAAATAGGAGGAAAAAACCTGACAACTATAATTCCTGATAATCTAAGTGTAACATATACAGCTAATAGCAAGTTTTTATTTTGTGCATTTTGGTTTTTTTTTGTTTTCTTCTGCAATTGAAATATGTTTTATGCATGAGGTTTGTGCTTCTCAAAAACACAAGTAATGACATTGTTCTGCAAGGAAAAATAAGCTGTCAAGATTGCTGCCAACTTCTGATCTGGTTTACTTCAGGGATCAACACATGACGTCTCAAACAGGCAAAAGCATTGATCCTGTTAACACCACCAAAAAAAAAGAAGATTCAATCTGCATGGCCCTAGCCAGCATCCAGCACTGAAACATGGCCTATGGTYGGAGTAGTTGTGCTGAGTGAGAGGAGAAGGAGGGGTGTTCAAGTGCTCATTCACCATGGGGGCAGGATACCAGCCTGTGTGAGAAACATCTCCCCATAAATGCCTCATTTTAACTTCTTAGGAGCAGCACTTTRCTTTCCGCTTTGATTCCAAGGACACTGTTCCTGCTATGGGGCAACAGGTTGTATCCAGGACTCTGGTGGAGCAGAGAAACTAGAGTTACAAGTTTGATTTTTCAGAAGATGTGCTCTGTCACCTGGCACAGCATTGACCTCCCACCTCTGAAGAGCAGCCACTAGCCAAGGTGGATGCCCCAGCTTGGTCCCCTGGCATTCCCAGATGAAGTGGCATGGATGGACCAGGCCAGAGCATGTGCAACCTCATTGCTGTCCAGCCCACCCACAACTTGGGCAGAATGCAGCACTAAGGCTTTCACTGAGTCCTTCAGCTTTGCCCCACAGTGTTCTGGAGCACTGTCACGGCCTCTGCCTGTGTCCTACCAGCCTAGAGAGGAAGTGCATATGAGTGTAAGCCATGGAGAAATGTCTTGTGGTTATTACTAAGCAGCCTCTTGAGAGGTTATCTGCCCCTCTTCCAAATGGACTTTATGTCTTCTGGTGGGAGATGTGGTGAAAGAAGAGCAGTACAAGAGCTTCCGCTCAAGAAAGATGTGTCCCTGGGTTGGCAACATTTTGCTGCAGAAAAAGACAAACCCACAAGTGAACCCCTACTCTGAATCTTTGCTAGCATGGGCTCTCCTTCACTGARTCACTAGCTGAGAAAATCTATGGGCTGGGAAATATATGTCATCTCCTAGGACTGGACAGATCTGTAAACATAACACTCATGTTGAACCCGGCTTCCTGGTGCCATAGTCCAGTGACTGCAGGGAATTTCCTCAAATCTGGTTGAAGGAGCAAAACAATGGCAGGACTTGGTACCCTGCTGATCACATTTTGCAGTTTCTTTCCCTGGAAACCTCATGTTAGCTGGCCTTGCTCTGAGTGAGYGGCCCAGACCAGATGGTTTCTAAAGGTCCTTTCCAACTGAAACTGATTTTTGATTCTATCATGAAGAAAAGGGGTTTTTGGAAGAGGGAACAGAGCAGCTGGGTATTTGAAGTACATTTCCTATCAGGGTAGCACATCTCGGTAGCACCCTAATATGCTTCCTTGTACAGTCCTTGCTCGTGCYGATAGACTCATAAGTTTTGCTGAAGCAAATGGTGTAAGTGCAGGGCTATCCATCTTCAGTAAAGAGGCATATGGCATAAAATTGTTAAAATAGGAAAAATCTAGGAATAAAAACTATATTGACTGGTTCATATTGCATATGGGAGAATCAGAAAATTCATACRCTTTCAATAATTGTCTCTGTTATGTCTTTTCTAACTTGGAAACAAGAATATTTCCACCATTAACTTTTCTTTCTCAGTAGGGCTGATGAAATATAGTGGATCCTAAATAATGTGCCACAAGTTGTAATATAAACCGGCACATTGTACTCTAAGTTAGCACAGGGATATGGGCTAGTTGAAAGACTACATTATATGACTGTAAACCCTTTAGTTGGTTTTGGAACATCTTCTCTGTTTTACAACATGAGTTTATACACAGAGCAACTTGTGCAACTGGCAGCTGCCATGGTTTTTAGGGGCTGCAAAAGCTCTTGTCTCTCCAGGGCCATGTCATTGACACTGTCATTGACATTGACATTTACACAGCTCTAGCATCCACACAACAAAAACACTCCTGCCCTCAATTAATCTGACTAAATGCGGTAAAAAAGATATGACAGCAGAACTCAGGAATGGTATTTTCCTTTCCACAGATACAAAAGTTCTATTGAAAACACCTTGAGCAAGGATGTGTCTGATGTAGAATAAAGCCTGTACCTAATACATTTGACAGATCCTTCCTGAGCAGTTCATTTGTGTGAAAATATAGCAGCTTATAATACTTTCAAGGACAATTAAGCTTAGAATCAAGGACAATTAGATCTAGACTGATGCATTCAGAACATGCTGGTTGGGCAAATTATAAGTTGCTTATTGCTTGCCTTAACTTATTTATATAATTTCAAAAGACTTCCCACCTCCCCAATATTTATAGAGACAAATTGTACAATAAATTTCTTTCTTGCGACAGTTAGATATACTTCCAGAGAGATTACTTGTATCATTGCTCTCACAGTCGTGATGGACTTTTTTGAAATAATATGTTAAGTTTGCATATGTTTGGTGTTCAAGAATATGTCAGCATTTACCCAGATAACTTTGACAAATGTTTACCACCTAACAGCAAACTACCAAAGCCAGTTTACTTCTATTAAGCACTCTTAGAATAAGAGGGTGCACAATGCTCAGTTAATAATAAATACATAAAAATGGGATTTTGGTGTTAATCTTTTTAGAGTAGTTAGCATCTCCATGTGTTTTAATTATATACATGTCCTCAGTATTTTCTAAAAAATGATTTAACTTTTTTCTTTTCCACCTAGGTAATGAAAAACATGGGTCCTTATCTGAAGAACTGAGTACCCAGCTTTCCAGCTAGACACTTGGATTTCCAGTTAGCTCATCTTTTCCAATCCTGATCCTGCATATTTTGATATAACTACCGACCTTACTACTTCTTGGTAGATTGTGGTAGGGCTACTCTTAGCATTAAGGTGCACAGGTAAATGTTGGCAGGACTTCATTCCTTTGTGTAAAGGTGCGCATCAAGGATGGAATATTATAATTACCTTTTTTGCATGTATAGTTCATCTTTCTACTARATGACTGCTTGATCAACATCTTCAGAAGCAAGAATCATACCATAGCTCTAATGGTAAGATTAGTTTAATGAAAGTCTTCATTTGCTAAGGAAATATTTTGCACTAAATGCCTTTAAGGACACAGATGAAACAGGCAATGATTCATTTGTCAGCCATAGGATTGAATAACACAGGTATAGAAGTACACCTGCAGATTTAGTTTGTATTGCTAAAAATTTTTACATTTTACTCCTTATAAAAAGGATTAGATGATTTTCTCTAGAAGAAAATTACTTTCAGTTTTATACAAGTTTGAAAAATGAAAACCATTTTTCTTTGCAATTTCAGCTAAACTGCTAAGAGACGATTTTGTAACACAGGTACAGGTCCCATCTCATACTTTGGCGAAACTTCCTCAGTGTTTAACAGCAATGTGACTGAAATAGAAATGCATCAAAGCCTAAAGGATATGGTACTACTATTTCACTTCTTCTATAGAGTTCTAATAAATTCAGGAACTTTCATATTCTGAAAGCTCATCTACTGAATGAAAGGCCTTAAATCATCAGTTCCTACAGATTTTATGATTCAAGTAATGAAAAAGTTAAATCTATATTAGTCTAAGACAGCCTTCACTGTGTGAGCTGAATACATTTAATTAGCCTTGTCTTCCTGAGCCTGCAGACACACTGCTCTGGAACTCCTGCAGCTAATCAGAGCTTCTCTGGAAAGCAACAGAGAGGAATTGATGGAAGACTGGTTAGTGCCACTGACAATGTTCAGAGCTATTTGTGCAATTGTAAAAGTGATAAGAAAAACCTTTTTTTTTTTTTTTTCCTAGAGGAATCTATTAGCAGGAATATTGTCTTTGCAATTATGCCTCTGGACTTCCTCCTCTCCTCTCACTATTTTCCTTACCAGACATAAGCTAGCAATTGTTTCTCCTGCAGATTAGAGTCTGGCAAACCTTTTCAAGCTTTAAGAATTAATTAATATATATTACTTACATGCCTGATATACGTTGACATCTCTATTAGATAATCTTTCTCCTCAAATGAATGACTAACAGAAACCGTCACATGGTTTTTCTTTAGGGCTCTGAATGACAAGATAAATCATTCATATTAAGAGAGAGAACCCAAGATTTTATCTCCTGGGGGTGGAAAGATGCGTATATGACACTTTCAGAGATTGGAAGCAGACACTTGCCTGTTGCTGGCACTGTCAGACTTGCTGCTCTGACCAAGCTAATATTATCCCAGTCTGTACTCCATGCATGAGCTCAAACTGTAATTAGCAAGCAACTAGATCAAGATCATATGGTCGTGTCAAGTGGGGTGACAGATTTGTATTATATCATTGCATGGAATGAGGTTCTATTTATAAAGCACCTGACTGCTATACAGGAAACTGGTATTGAGACATTTCCAYGGGCAAGCCTCCTATCTCATCATCATCCTTTTCCTGA